AGCCTTCGGGAGCTTTTTGATGTTTTCAAATCCTCAGGGTCATCTGTAAGTCATGCAGTGCATGATGTTTCCAAAAAGCCTTCGGGAGCTTTTTGATGTTTTCAAATCCTCAGGGTCATCTGTAAGTCCTGCAGTGCATGATGTTTCCAAAAAGCCTTCGGGAGCTTTTTGATGTTTTCAAACCCTTCGGGTCATTTATAAGATCTCTGGGCAAAATGTTTTCAACATATTCATCCTACTCAAAATAAACTAAATGAAAAATTATTGTCTTTTTCGTCTTTGCTCTATTCTTGTTAACACAAGAATGAGCAAAGAGGGGCAGCTGTAGACACTAATTTTTCATTTTACTTTTATTATTTATTATTATTATATTATAAATATTATTATTGTTATTATTATTAAATAAATAATATTACAAATTACAATTAGACCCAAAAGGTCCAGATACAAATCTCTAAGCCCATTTTACAAACCCGAAGCCCAATAGCCCGAAGTCCAGATGGCCCAACAGTGACCCAAACTTGGTGGCCCAGATCCATAAGCCAAAGTAGAAACCCTAAACCCGGTTAGGGTTTATATCTCAGCCAGCCGCCGCTTTGCTTCTCAGCTGTTGGATCTGGCTATGATCAAACGGTCCAGATGGTTCCAGCAGGAAACCCTAGGGTGATGATACCCTAGGGACACGTCCCACCGCCGCCGTTGCTTCCAGAAGACTCCACCGCCACACCAACGTTTCCAGTTTCAGCCACACCCCGTTGAAGACTCCAGAAGTGCCTCGTCAATGCCCCATGTCGAAGCCCTATGGTGAGTCACCACCATAGTCCGGTGACTCACCAAAGGTCACCCCTTTGTGACCGGTCCGAGATGAACCTCATGATGGCTATAAAACCCACTGGTTCCCTGAAAAAAAAGGAGACAGAGAGCAAAAAAAAAAAGAGAAAGCACGAACAGCAAGCAAAAAACAGAAATCTAACCAACGATCCCAATCAACACAACAAACCAGTAAAAAAATAAAGAGAAGAAAGAGGACTTACTCTATCATCGGAGAGCCCTAACGTCGCTGGAAAATCAAACGCCGAAGGTGAAAATCGTAGATTTACGATATATTATGGGTTTTTTAGGTTAAAATACCTTAGATCGACCTTAGGCGTTTAGATCTACTCTTTGGGGGTATTTTTGTAAATTTCGGCCACCGTAACGGTGGCGGCGGTGATCGGCACCGGAGTACGTGGCCTATGGCTGCTGGTTTCCCTCCCCCGGCGGGAACCTAGAGAGAAGCCAGAGAAATGCTTCTCTCTGTTTTAGAGAGAAACTGAGAAGAGAAATGAGAAGCTTGGCCCTTCGGCCAGGCGTTTAGGGTATTTATACCCCTTCCCAAATGACGTCGTTTGGGGAGGGTATCTGTGTAATTTCATAAAGGTTAAACCCTTTCCGCAGCCATCTTAATTTGTAATCCTTACATTTTAGTCACTGAACCCAATTTAGATCTTTATATTTGATTCTTTAATTTTAATTTTATTTATTTTAATCCTTTATATTAAATAATTAGGGTAAATATCATATTTAGTCCTTTAATTTTAGTAATTAATATTTAATCTCGAGTACATATTTTAATTTATTTTAATCTGATATTTGAATTTTATATAATTTTATTTTAGTCACCAAATTAATAATAAGGAGAATAACATGTTTAATCCCTGTAATTTTAAATAATTAATCACGACTTAGGTATTTAATGCTATTAAGTTCTAATTTAGTCACTAATTTCAATTTCTATTTAATTTTTTACAAGTTTTAATATAGTTTTAATTTTATTATTTATATGTTTACTCTTAATTATTATTACTATTATTATTATTATTTTTAGTCATAAATATATGTATTTATCTAATAAATAATATTTATTTTATTTATTAAAAATTTATTTAATTATTTTTAACCTATTTTAATCATGTTTTAATATTATTTATTTTTCAATATTAAGAAGGGCAGTCTTAAAACAACTGGATGTCCATTTTTTGATATTTTAAATAAATAAATATTTTATTTTTAAATCATATTAATTATTTTAATTATATTTTTTTTATATATATCGAAGAAAAGAGCTGTCTTAAGGCACCTAGAAGTTTTTCTGATATTTCTAATAAATAATATTTATTTATATTTTATATATAAATATATTTTTATATAATTATAACTTTGAAATAATAGGATTATAAATTAAATATATTTTTGAATTTTTAAATTTCCATAATAAGATTTTTAATTAATAGTACCAATTTTGGGCGTTGTGGGGTGCTAATCCTTCCCCAAACGTAATCGACCACGAACCCTTTTATTATTAAAATAACGAATCTTTGGTTAAAAAGCAGATCAGTTTATCTTTTAAAACGGATGTTTTCTTAAAACTCTTTAAAAGATAATTTTTAGGTATTCGACCTACCCTGACCCAAAAGGCCGATGGCGACTCTCAAAATATTTTAAAATCCTTTATTCACATCACTTTTCCCGCCGAGTAAAAATTCGTGCCTGGACGAAAACCGGTTACGACACTACCAATGTAAATTTTTTACACCTTTCAAATAGGAACTTATGAAGGAAAGATTATATGAGATAATATTTTGATACGTACATGTGTTTATTTATAATAAAATTTTTAATCTATCTATGATATATATGTGTATTTCAAAACCATTAACTATTTCATTTTTTGGTTTCATGAATCAATTAACTTTTTTTTACACGAACCAATTAATAAAATATTCATTTATTGATAAATTAATAAATTTAATAAATAATAATTTTTTGAATCCTAAAAATTATTTTATGATATAATGATAAAATTAACCCTCAACATTTGCTTAAACGATAATTTTAGTTCATATTATTTTTTGAGTATTTGGTCCAACGTTGAGTTTTTGGTCAAAATAATCTATGTTGGATGAAACCTTTAGTTGATTAACGACCAACATATATTATTAATCACATATGACTAATTGGTGACGCGACACATACACATGTTAATACTTTAGGTGGTTTGACACATACTACATCATTACTTTAGATAATGTGACATACGCCAACATTATTTTAGGTAATATGACACATGACGTCTCATTTTGGATAATATATATATGTCACATCATTAATTAAGCACGTATAAAAATATCATGTTTGTTACATACCTTGACCGGTTGTCAACTAACGATTTTCATCTAATAAGATTATTTAACAAAAAATTAAAATTAGTCACAATAATAATTTAAGCAAAAATTAGGAACTAATTTACATTATATCTTATATTATAGAGATTTTACCGTGATAAAACCATTTTCGAGCAAATATAAATTAAACAAAATAGTAATAATTAAAACAAAAAAAGGGGAAGGAAACCCTTCAATCGAACCAGGGGAAGTTTTGCTGTGCGGCGGTTAAAAAAACGCGTGTCTGTTAAACAAGTGACCGTTAAAATTTACACCGTTATGTTATATCATTTAACCGAAAATATTATCAAGTAAATGACATATTAGGTAGAACTTATATAATGTAATAGGTAGCGCTTATATAATAAATAAGTATTTAACCGAAATATTATTAAGTACAATAACATATTAGGTAGCGCTTATATAATGTATAGGTAGTGCTTATATAATAAATAAGTATTTAACCGGAAATATTATCAAGTACAATAACATATTACGTAGCGCTTATATTTAATAGGTAACGCTTATATTGACATATTTCTAACTAAACCGGTATATTATACCGGTAACATTACAAATTTATCTATTATTATAATTATCGATTTCGATGTTTTTGGGATTTATACAATTTTAAATGTATCGATACTTTATGTGTGCACCTCGTTGGACATTCATTCTGGAAAAAAGTATCGACACAAACTTAAAACATATCGATACATTATGTAGACATATTTTCTCATAAAACCGGTATATTTCTACAGGGTACATTGTAAATTTGCCTATTACATTGTAATTATCGTTTTCGATGTTTTTGGGATCAATGTTTTTGAGATCGATACTTTTAATAAATGTATCGACACTTTATGTGTGTACCTCGTTTGACATTCATTATGGACAAAATATATCGACAATTTTTAAATTTGTGTCGATACATTATGTTGACCTGGTCTATCATAAAACCGGTATATTTATACCGGTTACATTGTAAATTTACCTATTACATTATAATTATCGGTTTCGATGTTTTTGGGGTCGATACTTTTAGAAAATGTATCGACACATATGTTTACTAATTCTATCATTAAATCAGTATATTTTACCTATTACTTTATAATAATTGGCTTCGATGTTTTGATGATCGATACTTACAATAAATGTATAGACACTATTTTGGAAACTTTATGTTTGAGAACAATACTAGACAAAATGTTGAAAACAAATCTTTGTGTTTACTAATTTGTCATTAAAAAAGTCTATTTTTACCGGTTTTGTTATTGTTAGGCATAACAAAACCGGTAAACATTACCTAAAATATTATTATTTCTACTTAAAACAACAATGTTTTTTAATATTTTCGGTAATGCCTAACAATATTTTACCGGTTTTGTTAGAAACCCGGTTTCTGTGACAGGGAAGCCTCTAACTGTGGCTTCAACCAACTCTTTATCCTTTGAATCTGTTCAGCTAACAGAAGCTACCAGGCCTATGAGAAGGATTTATGTAGAAAATGTGCCAGCTTCAGCCTCTGAAAAAGCTATGATGGAATCCTTCAATAACTTTTGCTTTCCTATGGAACTATCATTCAGTAGGACCAACCCATGTATTAGCTGCATTGTAAGTCTGTGATATATTATTTCAATGGTTTACATTTTACTCCTGCTAAACATATGAATGGAACAGAGGAGGATGTCATGACATGCCTTGCAAATTGCAGATACACAAAGGAAAGGGACAAGCTCTAGTTGAATTCCTTACACAGAGATGCTTCTGCAGCTCTTTCTTTTGATGGCAGTACTTTCTCTGGTTCTGTTCTCAAATCAGACGGCCTAAAGACTTTGTTGAAGTGGTAGTACAAATAATACTCCATTTTTTTAATTATTAATCTTTATGGATATATTTATTCTTTATTCTTTTTCAAATCTATTATACAGTTTTCTTTCTTGTTTGTTTATATTGGATTTATTTATGGACAATCTTTAGGAATCTCTTTTGATTAACTGTTGATACATTGCAATCTTTTGGCTCAAAAACTATATATATTATATATACATGATTAGAATTTTAATATTTACTCTTTGTAATTATTGTTGCTGGTATAATGACTTACTGGAATTTTTATGTTCTCTTAATCTAATTCAGTTGTCCGCATCATATATATGGTACTGTATGACTTGTAGATCATGTTGATTGGAAGTTTGCAATGTTTTTAATTACTTCTTTCATTTGAGAGTATTATGATTTGCCTTTACCGAAAGCTTAATGTGCATTCTTGAAATGCTTCTTAAGTCTAGTAGTGGATTTAGGAATACTCATTTAAATCCATACGCTTGACTCTTTGGGGCTTGTGTCTTTGCTTGCACTGATACATGGGACATATATTAAGGTGTCATTTGGCACACCATAAGGTGCAATGGGGAGCCCTCCCTACCATACTTAACCTTCTAGACTCATGTGCCAAACGAGCCTTAACTACCCTGGATAATTTTGAACTGATGAAGACTAAAAGGTTTCATTTTCAAATGTTTCTGCTCATTGTGTGCATTTATGCAATTCCACTAGACTCATTTGCCAAACGAGCCTTAACTACCCTGGATATTTTGAACTGATGAAGACTAAAAGGTTCATTTTCAAATGTTTCTGCTCATTGTGGTGCATTTATGCAATTGACAGTATTGTTGTACGTCAACTAACCTGCATAACTTTTACATGCTTCGCCTTCATTTATCTAGCCTTAGATAGAATACTTGTAATTTAATTAGTGCTTTCTGTTCAGCCAGAAAGATGCTAGTACATTTCTACTACTTACTGTTTCTGAGGTCTATTGTGGTTTACCATCGTAGCAGGTTTTCAGACAGTTGCTATTTTCATGCAGACTGGTGAACTGGAGAAATCAGGAGCACATTGACCACAGTCAATGATATTGTGGAGGATTCACATCACAAGGTATTTATTCGTAATTTGAGTCTTTGCTACACTTTGCCGTAAATGATTTGTGTTGCATACTTTTAAAGAAGCACCACCATTTTTCTAATTTACTTGTACCATCTTGCTGTTCTCCCACCAAGCCCACCCCCCCCCCCAAATGCATTCAACCTACGTATTACTGTTCTTTTTTCCTTTTCTTTTTGTGGCAATCTTTACATTATTTCCTTTCTTGTGAGTTTGGTGCAGATATTCATTGGTGGAATTTCAAAGGCTCTTCATCTGAATGGTAATACCGTAAAAGTCCCGATGCTGTGCAGATTATCTAGAGCTCTTATATTCCTGCATCTTTACCCTCTTCTCTCCTAATCATGCCTCTCTCTTATTTTCATTTACAATTTATCACTTTTAAAATGACTAGGATTTGTATGCATTTCAGTTCGTGGAGATTGCTAATGCCTTGGTCCGTTGAAGGCATATCATTTTGATATGAACAAGGATCTGGTGAACAATATGCCATGCTCGAGGTAACATGGAGTGTATTTATTCATGTTTGGTGCCTTTTTTTATGCAGATAAGTGTGAAACCTTTTGTGCAATGATTGTCGAATCATTGCTGTTTCTCCCTACTCTTTCTTATGTCTATTCTTTTCCTTTGTACGTGTAAACAAATCCGCTCTGCCTGACTTGCATATCTGATAAATTACTATAACAGTACGTCGACCAATCTGTTACTCACAAGGCATGTGCTGGTCTAAACGGATTGAAGTTGGGAGGGCAAGTAATCACTGCAGTTGAGGCTGTCAAGGGCTTTTCCTTGGTACTACACAAGCACTGTTGCTTTTCTAACTAGCTCCAGCTCAATTTTTTTTTTCGATTAGGGGTAATATTATGTCGAGTTTTGTACTAACTAGAGATTTTTGTCCTAGGGAAATGGTGAAGATCAAAATTCATGTATTGTTCCTGAACTTGCGAGGTCGCTTCTTCAGAAGCCTACTCAAGTCGTTAAACTTAAAAATGTGGTAAAGTATATGGCTTAGATCCATTTGTAGTTATGTTGGTAAATGATCTAATTTCGATGTGCAGCAGACAAGTTTATTGCAGTCCACTTACTGATGCTTTTTTCCCGGAAGGAAAACCATATTCCTTATCGTAATTGTTGTCATCATTTTTGTGGCTCAGTTCCCAGAAAACTTTTCTTCTTTATCTGAAGCTGAGGTGGAAGAATACTAGAATGTACGGTTAGAGTGTTCAAGGTTTTACGAAACCCTTACTTAAATTCATCTCCTTTCATGATCATATTTCTTTGTTGGGTTAATCCATATATATATATATTATATATATAACAATTCTGCAGGTTTGGTACTATTAAATCTGTTAATGTTGTCAAGCATGCAAACGGTATCATCACAAATGGAGAAAACAATGATGATAATACGAGGGAAACTGGAAACGTACAGAACGTAGTAGATGATGAAATAAATGTTGAAACAAAGACTACAAAAGAAGCTGCTGATGGAAACTCTGGAGGAACTGCTGGTATAACCTTTCCGTGTGCGACTCCTGAGGTAGTGGCAGGCTACAGGTTTAACGATGAGAAACCTGTTTTATGCCGACGAGTTGAGTTTGAAGATAATATTAACAGAGAAGACAAGCATGGGAATTTGGATGATGAGCCATCAACCAGGGGGGTTTTATAGCATCAGTGCTGCCGGTGCTCAGCTTGATACTGAAATGGCTGCGGAAGATCCGACCTTGGAGATTTTAGTCAATACAACTTCTCAAGATGTCCCTAATCCGATCCATATCTCAAAAGAGGAATCAAATTATCATTCCGATAAGTATGGTGATAATAATTTTAAAAGTGAAACCGCAAATCTTGATGAGATATCAGGAGCTGAAGAAAATGCAAATCTTGATGAGATATCAGGAGCTGAAGAAAATGCAAATCCGGAGGAAATCAACAGAAAATTACCAGAAGGTCATACTAAGGTGGCAATCGAAGATCCCGCCTTTAAGAGTGAGCCAATAACTAGGTTTCGAGAGATCCTACCCTTCTGAATACCCCAAAAGAGGAACCGGCCTCTCCATATGACAAGGTTTCTGATAATATTGATAATGAAGTCATAAATGTAGATAAAAATTTGTTGCCCAGAGAAGATTCACACCTGGAGGAAGGTGATGGAAGGCTACCAGAAGCCATCCACGGTTCTGCTGATAGTGCAAGAACAGAATTAGACGGTTTTGAGAAGGATGAAAAAAACAAGGATGACAAATTGAAACAGATTTTTGAGCCTGGTTGTGTGTTTGTTGAGTATGGAGGAACAGAAGCATCATGCACGGCTGCACATTCTATACATGGACGGTTATTTGATAACCGGTTGTTGACGGTAGAGTATATTGATCCGAACCTTTACCGGTGAAATTTCCAAAATGAACCGGATCACTCGAACTGGAGATAAAACTGCTCCACCGAACTTTAGCCTCCCCATATGTTTATCATTTGAAGTACATTCTGCATGATTATGCTACATCGGAGTTTTACATTACATTACAGTCGGCCTTGGCCATACGACGACACAAGGTAATATTTTTTCGAAGTTTGATCGGGTTTGACTAGTAAAGGACCCTTGGTCTCTCCATTTAAACTTTTAACTTTAATTCGACAGTGCTGTAAAAGTTGATGTATATGTTATCATGATAGTTAGAAGTTTGTGTATGCACTGCTACTTTTGTAGTCTACTTGTTTTCCTCTTTGATCATCATTAGAGGGCGTTTGGATGGGAATATAGGATTTTCATGGGAATGAAATCTATATTCCTCCGTTTGGTTAGTTCGGGAATTTTATTCCCGGTAATATAAGATACCGATAGTGGATTTTTAGGGTATATTACTGGGAATGTCATTATCTCATTTTCCTTAGGTATTGTTGGATTACCAGTGTTTTGTACTAAAATGTCCTTAAATATTTTTTCAAAAATATCATTCTTCTGTCATTAATTAATAAAAATTCTACGAATGTTAAATTATAAATTTATTCTTAAAATATTTTAGATTTACAAAAAAAAATATAATTAAAATTTTATATGAAGATCAGGGTTAAAATAAAATTTTATCATTTCATTAAATCTTTTTATATTTTTAATTTTGTAAAAAAATTATATAAATTTTATGAATTTAATTTTTTTAAAGAAAATATAAATATTTTTTAATTTGTTAAAAAATAAATATATACTAAGGACAATTTGGTCAATTATATATTCTAATAATCTTTTATTCCTTTAATCAAACACAATAATCTTACATTTCTGTTAAGCCAACCAAACACAAAATACAACATTCTCAGTAATTCTATTCCATGTAATATTACATTCCGTGAATCAAACGTACTCTTAATTCAGGAATAATCATGATACGACATTGCATATTAATCCTTTTCCAAGAATTGAGAAATAAGTTCAGTTGGTAAATATTAATTTTTGTATATAAATTATTTGATTATCGATTTTTATGTTGATTTTTAGGCGTGAACCCTAATGACCACAATGATAAATGAATTGTTTTATTTTTTGAAATTTTGGGTTTGAACACAATGAATGTTAAGAGTATGAGCATTTAATATCAAAGGGGTGAGTTTTCTTTAAACATATTACCTTGTACTTATTTCGGATTAATAAAAACATTTAGAATTTAACGTTATTATGGATTAATTTTTAATCATCAGAAAATATAAATTAATTTTAATAAATTAAAACCCATTTTTTAAATGAAGTTATGAGATTCGTAGTTATATTAAATGGATTTTAGAAGGTGAATAATTTGGTTATTGTATAAAAAAATAATTGTCTGATGTGTTTTTTCACAAAGATTTAAAATTATTGTTATTTTTAAGTAATATTTCAATAATAATTAAAGATATAAAATGATGATTAAGGTCCTTATAAAAAAAATGTATCAATAATCATCTTAAAAGTAAATAGGAATTATCTAAATAATAATACATTTTTTTGATTAGTCTAGGGATACGAGATAGCATCTGCTCGAAAGATCTTCGGTTATTTGACACCAAATATTCAAATATTTTTGCAGACGAAATACACAAATCTAAAACATATAAAATAACAATCGTCTCTTCACATAAATTATTTGGGTTGTGACCAAATCAATTTTGGAGTTTAAAGTTTCAATTTTGTAGTTTAAAGTTTCATTTTTTGGTTGGGCCTTTTGATAATCTTTTATCTAAAGGCCCAATTAGACCCTAAATTTATTATCCTTCCATATTCATTCTATCCAAAATCATCCTTGTTTTTTCTCCTTTTCATTTTTTGGTTGGCCTTTTGATAATCTTTTATCTAAAGGCCCAATTAGACCCTAAATTTATTATCCTTCCATATCATTCTATCCACAATCATCCTTGTTTTTTCTCCTTCACGAAGACGGGAGAGAAAGCGATAAACCAGAGACAGCAACAATGGCAACATTGGCCACTTTCGGAAGTACTTCAGTTCTTAGGTTTAGCAAACCAGAGCCTCTAAAGGAAAAACCATCTCTACCATTTCTGGGCTCTCTTCTTCCCAACTCAATGGCATCAAATCTCCTACAACCTGCCTCCTCTAAATCCCGTATCATCGCCTTTCTCCCAGCTCTCCAGCCTGTTGCTCGTAATCCTTCTTCTCCGTTCTATTTTACCATGATTTTTTCTACTCACCATTTGGATTTTATAATTAATTTCTGGTTGGTTTCAGTTTTGCTCCTTTCTCTCTGACTCTGTTTCATTATGTATGTTTCATTTTTTTATGTGATTGGTGTTTTTAGAAGAGTTTTAGTGAAACTTATGATTATATCTGGGTTCGTTTACTTGAATGTAAAGGTTAAGTGAAAATGTGAAGTTGATAAGTTTAAGCTGCATCTTGGACAAATCTATAGAAGACATAAATCCCATCTGGAATCTTTGAATTGTTTGCATTTATCTAATTCTAAGCTTGAATTAGATAAGATTAGAATCTACGATATTGTTTATGGTAATAATTTGGTCTAGTAGATGAACAGGTTAATATCTTTGAATTGTTTGTTTTATCTAATTCTAGCTAATGTGTCAAACACAGGGTAATTATGTTTACGAGTAGATCAATAGGTTAAATAGATCTGGTTGTCATGTCTTTGATTTTGTTATATCAGCGAGCTTGTAGATGTATTGACTATGTACTATAGCTGCGAATTTCAAAATTTTAGAAGGTTATAAAATTCTAAGGCTGAAACAATTTCATAGAAAATATATAAAAAAAATTAAATATATCATAATTTCAATTTTCAGGGGGCGATTGATGTCTGATGATACTCCTATGACCGGAGGATATGGATTTTGGAGTCTATCCGTTGGTCTTGGCTGACGAAGAGTTGATAGTTTCCGGATATGACTTCTAAAATTTATTCGCAGGTTGGCGAAAAACTGACAGTTTCCGAAAAGAGCGGTATAATAAAAATGAAATTAGAGGTGATTTAGTTGACATATAGTCGTATATTATATATGTTTAGCCTGGCTAAACTAGTCATAAGGATGCTGCAGCCTTGAAGATGGAGTGATCATGCTCTCATCCTCGAAACATTTGTTCATTTAAATCAAGCCATTTAATTGTTTGAAATGCAATGAATAGTTAGTGATTCTATGTTGGATCATCTTTTACAGGTAGATGCCCTTTCACCGGCAAGAAGGCGAACAAAGCTAACCATGTTTTCTTTCTCGAACCACAAGACGAAGAATTGCAGTTTGTGAACCTCCAGTTCAAGAAGTTTGGTGGTGCTGGTAAGCGCCATGTTGCGACACGTAAAAAAGCAATGGAGGAAAGTTTTTTCTTTCTTTTCCTTGCCAAATAATCACGAGCTTTAAACGAGTTAGTCATGTCGTTCTTGTGTTCGTGTTCGTATTCATCTTCATGGTTGAAATTTCAGTTGCAAAATGTGTCATTTTATGCATGATTACAAAGTGAAGCTGCAATGCAGATAACAAAGAGTATCTACTTGCAGAGTGCACGTCAAAACAAAGCAATGGAGGGGAAGTTTTTTCCTTCTTTTCCTTGCCAAACAATCGCGAGCTTTAACGAGGTAGTCATGTCGTACTCGTGTTCGTGTTCATGTTCTAATTTTGACACAAATAATTCGTGTTATTTGTTATTTGTTTTTCCTTTGCCTTCTACTCATTTCCAGATGGTCATGAGCTAGGATCAATTATGGGGAAGGATTAAGTTGTCTAATTTCAAAACTAATGGAATTTAATAAATAGTTATCTAAAATGAGGCCAGACATCTTTCCGAAATCATGTAGTTTCGTTCTAAACTAATCCATGGTAAACCTACAAAATGACCACTTAACTATAGGTAGTTTTTATTTAGAAAATGAATTTTGATCTTCTAATTTTGTCAATCAAATTATTTAATTATTATGTATTGTCAATAAACCACTGCTGTTAACATTTACTGGAGGCCTATAAGTGGTGATCAAATCTCACTCATTACCACGGTCGTTCATCATTACCGTCGTCGGATTACCATTTCAGTCATCTTTTGTCGTCGCTTAAATCCCTAAACTAAAGAATTAATTTTAAAGATTTGAATTTAGGGTTTTATGAAATTAGGGTATTTTGGTATAAATATAAAAATTAGGGCGATTTATACAAAAATTTGATTTTTTTTGAAAAATTAAAAGAAATAAAAATTAGGTCACGATTAAACACCGATTAGTTAAACGATTTTATTAATGGTCATAACTTAAAATGATAATAGAAAAAAACCGTAGAAACCCACTTTGAAAAAAAAAAATCCTGAAAATAATGACAAGATATTTTAGAAACTTATTTTTTTTAATTAAGTCTAATAAATAATAATAAACCATCAGAATATTTGGGTTCAGTAGGGATGGGCATGGGTTGGTTTTTCAGCCGACCTGACCTAACCTAAAAAATTTTATATCCTTCACTCGAAACCTGACCCGACCCAGGTTTTAGGGTAACATCACCCACTCGAATCCCGACCAACTTTTTGAGATAAAGCTCAACTTCGCCCAATTCAATCCGAAATAATAAAAATTATTTTTTTCATAAAATAGGAACTTAATTTTAAAAATAATATAAAGAGATTATTATTGCAATTATTTTTTTAAATATATAAGGTATATATATATTATTTTTAGGGTCAGGTTGGGTAGGTATTTTTTCTACTAAACCTAAATCCGACCCGACCCAAACTTATCTTCTAAAAATCTGATATGACCCGACCCAAACTTATCTTCTAAAAATCGATCTGATCCGACTCAAACTTTTTTTTTTTTAAAAAAATTATAATCCAATAGATAAATCGGATCAGAGCCTGCCGTATTCGATCTCGTGCTCATCCCTATGTTAAGGTAAATACCATTGGGGTAGCTAATGGAGAGAGCTTAAGATGGGCTCAAATTCAAACTTTTGAATAGTAAATTTAACTTCAAGTGGGATTCATAGTTAACTAATCTACACGGGATTTTAAAAAATCTTACCAAAATAATTTTAAAAATTAATTCTTAAATCTTCAAAGACCTTAATTGGTTAAATTTTGCATTGAAGATTGAAAGTAATATTAATATATATAAAATTTTTATTTTTAATACATTAGTTTATAAACGAATAAACTACTAATAATTTAGATTTGTTATTTTATACACATTAAAGCTCAAGTGTTTTTCCATTCTTTATAATTAATCTATCAGTTA